GGCGGGAGGCAACCAATCAGTGATTCTCTATCATCATTGATGGTTCTATCTCTCTCTCCCTTCCTCTCTGAAGTCAATAAAAAAATATATTTAAAACTGCCCTCGAAGACGTTAGTCCAGCCAGTGGCTACCCTGGCTTTTCTTCCCTCTCATGACTTTCTCTAAAGCACCACCTGCCAGCTGTGGCCCGGGGCCCACTCTCCAGGGGCACCTCCATCGGTGGGCAGCTCTCAGCAGCCAGTCCACCACTCCCCAGAAATAGCTCCTCCGACTGAGGCCGAAGAAAGGAACCCCCGAGGGCACACGGACATCACAGACAAGCGCCGGGAACTGTGAGGTCACAGAGGGGCCGCTAATCCAGTGGCAAAATAAGCATCCCACGGCCAGAGGGCGCCCCATCTGTGGGCTTTCGGGGAGATGGGACCTTGGGCCCATGGTGGCAGCGACTGTCCTGACAAAGAATGCAGTGAGCCCTGGGCCCACACCTCACTGAGACTCACCTGCACCTCCCATTCCTATGTGTCCTCGCAGCGTGACTCAGCTGGGTGGGCACTGTCCCGTGCACCGAGCACCGAGAAGTCGTGGTTGATTCCCAGTCAGGGAGCATGCCCAGGTTGCAGGCTTGATCCTTGGCAGGGGGTGTGCAAGAGGCAGCAGATTGATGTTTCTCCATCGATGCTTTTTTCTCTCTCTCCCTCTCCCTCTCTCTCTGAAATCAATGAAAACATTTTTTTTAAAGCACCTGGTGGGGACAGGAAATTTCCATCATTGGTGGGGGGAGTAATATGATCGATCACACTTGTGGTTTGGAAGGATGATCTGGCAGCGGGTGGACGACAGATTGAGGCGAGGAGTAGGGCAGGGGGCTGGTGAGGAGAAGCTGGTGCAGAATCATGCCCCCGGGCCCTCCATGCCTCTTCCCTGCCTGTCCCTTCACAGCTGGCATGTTACATTCTGTCCTCTCCGCACCCTCCTTAGCGATGCTCACACACCCACCCGCCCCAGCCTGGCCATGTCCGTAACTCCCAGCACCATCTTTCCCGTCTGCCCCTCTGCAGCCCTGGGCCTGTGAGACGCCTCTGCCAGGACAGCCCCAGGCAGCTAATCTTCCATTCTCTCCAGCGACACCCTGCCTGGCTCAGTTCCTCTCTGATCCATCCACTCTGTCCCTGCCAAACCCTCCCCCGCCCGCAGCCCCCACCTCCCTGCTGAGCTCCACTTGTCTACTGCACATGTGACCGCACCGCTCTCCCCGCTCCCTACTCTGTAAAAGTCAACAAATAGCAATGGGGTTACCGATGCTCCCACCTTCCCCAGTACAAGCTGAGCTCTTCGCTGTGGCACCTGCTCGACACTTGTGGGCTCCTTCATCCAGCACACGTTCCCTGAGCTCCCAGGGTGTGCTCAGCAGGAGGCATGGAGGGGGCAGGTCATTCACAGGAGCCTGACCGAGGGGAAGAGACCAGGGAGGGTCCGAAGGATGAGGAGAGAGGGGTAGACTCAGAGGTGCTCAATCATCCAAGAAAGGGCGATGGGCCCAGCCAGTGTGGCTCAGTGGTGGAGTGTCGATCTATGAACCAGGAGGTCACGGTTCAATTCCTGGTCAGGGCACATGCCTGGGTTTCAGGCTTGATCCCCAGTAGGGGGCGTGCAGGAGGCAGCTGATCCATAATTCTCTCTCATCATCGATGTTTCTAACTCTCCCTCTCCCTTCCTCTATGAAATCAATAAACATATATTTAAAAAATAAAATAAAATAAAGGATCCTGCTATCCACGCAAACATCATGCAGCCACAGAGGAGGATGGGATCCTAGCACTGGTCTAGTGTTGTCTCATTGGACAGAATTCACCACTGGCCAGCCTTCAGATTCCCACACAGACCTCTGGGAACAGAGATTCCGTATAGCTTTTGGGAATTTACAATATCTATAATAACTCACTGCATTTTTTAAAAAAAAAGAAAAAGGAGGAGCCCTAACCGGTTTGGCTCAGTGGATAGTGCGTCGGCCTGTAAACTCAAAGGTCCCGGGTTCGATTCCGGTCAAGGGCATGTACCTTGGTTGCGGGCACATCCCCAGTGGGGGGTGTGCAGGAAGCAGCTGATCGATGTTTCTCTCTCATCTATGTTTCTAACTCTCTATACCTCTCCTTTCTTGTCTGTAAAAAATCAATAGAATATATATTTTTTAAAAAAGAAAAAGAAAGAAAGAAAAGGATCCATGAAGTCAGCCGCAGAACACCTGCACATGGGAGCAGGGCCAAGAGTGGGAGCGTGGGGCGGGCGCTGTGCGGACAAGGGTTTTTAGCTGCTCGTGCCTGTGTACTCAGGTGACGCTCACACAGGCCTGCTGAGCAGGAGTCAGGAGTGGGGTGCCCACCCGGGCGGTGCAGGAGCCCGCGGGGGGGCAGTGGGGACCGCACGCTCTCCTTGTTTAAGTTGCTCACAGACATCCTTTCGTCCTTCAGCCATGAGGGAACAGGGTGCCGGCTCTGAGGCCAGCTGCTAGGCTGAGGGTCTTGCACTCGTCTCCGTGGGGAACCGAGTGCCCAACCTCTGTGCCTCTGCAGGGCTGCTGCCAGGCTCCGGAGTTGCTCCTCCTTCCCGACATTTGCGGCTGGGACGCCCCCCCTCCCCCCGCTCCCCCCAGGAGAGGTGGTGGGTGGGAACCAGCCCTGCGGACTGCACCCCTCCCGCACCCGC